CTCTCTCCCTCTCTCCCTCTCTCCCTGTGCCTCCCTCCCTTCCTCCCTCCCTGTCCCTTCCCACTCCCTCCCCCAACCACATTTTTCCATTAGATTTCCCGAACACTCACATCACAACAGGACTCTCAAACCCAGACCTGGAGATCACCCCCTCCTCTCCACCCCCTTCCCAGCGTCCATCCATCTCCGCCGCTCGGAGCGCGGCTCGGTGGCTGCAAAAATTCCTGCACAAATCATCGCGAACCAGCCGGCTTCTGCCCGGGAAGTCATCTCGGTGACGCGGGCCGCGCGGAGCACGGAGCCTGAACGCAGGACGCGTGTTGCACACACACGCCGCGCGCCTCCCCTGCAGCCTGGCCCGCGCGCTCTCCCGGCGCTGACCTCAAGACCGAGAGCTGCGTGACCCCGCCTGGCCCAGCCGGCCGCCGCCGCTCCCTGACATCGCTCCCCCTCCCCACTCATCACCCAGGCTCTCAGCGACTCCGGGGTGAAGGCAGGGTGAAGGTGCTTTGGGATGGGGGCCGAGATCAAAGATGCCAAGAAATCGCCATTGGCCCCTACACCCCCCACCCACTCCCACCCCGGGGCCACCAGACCTCCCGGGCTGGATGTGTACACAGGCAATGCCCAGTTTTATTAAAATAATCCAACAGTCGCTGGGGGCTGGTCGGGGTTTTCATCTCCCGTCGCTCCTCTCCCTGCCCACCTCCCCCCCCCCAAAAAATGTATTATTTTGAGGGTCGAGTTGAAGAGGTCAATAGAAGCGCAAACGCAGTCAGTAGGTCCTAAGCCTGAGCAGACCCAGATTGGAGCACCAAGCGCTTGGAATGTCAGGGTTCCGCTCTGGTCTCCGGTCCCCCCCTCGCCCTGTTCTTTTCTGGGGCTCTGATTAGAGCCTGGGACCTGCAGGCCAAGGTCTGGGTGGAGGGACGGAGGGAAGAGAAAGGTCCTGGGGATCGGCAGCCCCCTCGGTGTAATCCTCTGCAGCCGCTGGGGCTAAAACCCGGGGAAGCCCAGGGGCAGGCCCGACACATCCCTGCAGAACTCCAAAGTGAGTTGTCCAACCCCGAAAGTGGGGCAGCCCCGGAGAAAACCAACCCGAGCGAGCCTCCGCTGCAGTTCTCACTCCACCTTCCAGGTTTGTTTGCAAACAGCCTTTCACCGGGGCCCTTTATTTATTTGTGAAAACACCCCGGCCCTTCCAAAATGTCAGCTCGGGAGGCCTCTGGGCTTGCTAAGGAGGCGACCCCCGGGGCCAACGACCGAAAACAAACATGGCTCCGCGATGAGGCTACATGTCTGCGTCGCTGGCAAAGGGGAAGGGAAATCCAGAAAGACCTCCTCAATCCCTGCAAATTCTCAGAGATTTGCGGATAAAATAAATTCCCATAAATAACCTGCAGGCCCCACTGGAGAGGGAAAATCTGGGCTCCCCGAAGCCACTGCCTGGCCGGATCCGCTGAAGTCTGTGGAGCGCAGATGGTGTGGGCCACACCGAGCGAAGTGGGGAGTTTTCGAACTTCCT